ATTCTTTTGTACAAGTAAATTAATTAAGAATAAGTACAACTTGGTAGCAAAGAGAGATAGAATTATCATTCACTGTATATTTTATATCGTAGTGAGAAGAAAGAGATATATATCTTATTTCATTTATTATATAATATTCTTTCATTACTTTTATTATGTTTCAGACCGTAACACGTTGACGATGCCGCCATTCGGCTTCCGGAAATGCTCTTTGCTTCGAATCTCTCATCTATACTTCTCCTCCTTCCCGGTACCCGATATGATTAGGCTTACGATCCCCCGCGCTGTTCGCCGACGCTAATTCAGCTCGCGAAACTCGCTAAAGTACGACGTCTCGATTTCTAGAGAAGAGGTAGAAAAAACAGCGAAAACGACGACAAAATCCCGCGATACGACCGCGAGCGATTATTACTATAAATATTACAGATGAGAGACGAGAGTAGCCGTCCTCAATTCTGATTATCTTCGGGACGTCACGTGCGACAAAACGTATTGAGCGCGTGACAGCGCGGACGATCGAAGCGGAAGCGTCTCAACGATCGCGTTCGTTTCTCACATAAGAAACGTTCATAATTCTCTAACGATTATAACTCCCCGTTAGAATCCACCTCTCGAAATAAGTAACTCGCAAAAATGTAATATATCATTTTCATCACGAAATCATTTACGACACGTCGTCATTTCACGATTACGATTCTCGAGTTGCCTTCTTGGCCGTTCTGTACCGCTGTCAAAATTGACGACAAGAATTCACTTCCGGCGCCAGATACAAGCAGAGCTCTTATGTTTTCAGACAGGAGCACACGATTGAGATAATATTAACGCTCTTGCACGCAAGGTGCTGCTTTCTTTTTAAAATGCATCGTCTTCTCTTTAATTCTTACTAGCTTGCGCAGCTTCTTCAGCATCATTATGCTCTACAATCGGATTTTAATTTCAAATTATTAGCGGAATTCACGCACATTACGGCCTCCCATTAGATGTATCTGCAATCGTTTCAATTTGTATAGCTCTTTCTAGCGAACCTGTGCGACTAGTTGAGGCAAAAGATATGCATAACATGTTTAAACGAATGTGTCATAATTCGCTGATAAAATATGTATATATGTATATATACATATATATATTACGTATTTTGGAATCCTCGTTCATGCGGAATTAAGCCTTTTCTTAATCTCAAGAAAAATACTCCTTTTCGACATATATAATCCTAAAATTCACTCTACAATATCACAAAATATATAATGAAACGGAAGTTCATCGAAATCACATATAAGATACATTTCAGCCTGATGCTACGTAATACGAGCGAGATTCTTGCATGATATTATAACCAATTTGCTCTTTAATGAAAAACGACAGTAATTATTGAGACTAGCTGGACATGATATAATCGTTACAAGATTCACCTCAATAACTTAACAGATAACAAATATCTTGTGTATAAGATCATGACCGTGCACAGTTCCGTGAAATGAAAATACAACGAACACGAGATATTTTCTTCGATATCGCACGAACGAGATGAATGAATCCTCGGAGCAGAACGGCCAAGATAGATTGCGTTTGTAATGACTGTACTTGGAAATGAAGCGCGCCCTCGACGTGCATTCCTTTCGCGCGTTAATTATTTCGTGTGATCGTGATGGACGCGTGCACGCGCGGCAGCGAAAAACACGATATTCGGATTACATAATGAATAATTAATAATAATGATAATAATAATTAATAATTAATAATAATATATAATATTTATAATATTTATGTATATTAAATAAATTTTTCGATATCATATATGTAT